AGACCAAGCAGAGTAGTTTTGGCCTGCAAAGTATGGAGTTTTGGGTGTGAAATTAGAGGATTCCATGGTTGAAATCACTCCCTCACGTGTTTACACTCAGACGACACGGTCCCTCTAAGAACAAAAGTGCTCTGATAGCAATTGTTAGTTTGTAAACAAAGAGATGAAGATCTGGTAAGTGCAGAACTAAAACTTTCCATTGAACAAATCTGCTTTTTACAAGGAACTAAAGAAACTACTAAAAACTGAAGTTAACTGCATTACAATGGAAAAACAAACTGAATTAAAAACCAACTAATAACTGCTACAAACTGAAAAAATAGTGTGACAGCATTTGTGTTGCTATCTTTACATTGCTGTTTTCAAATGAGAGGTAGAGAGAGAGCACGAGGCAACCGGCCAGGAGCTTGGGGAAGACGAAGGGCATAGAGCTATGGCTACAGCAGATCAAGACGACATGCAAGATACCAACAGCGAAGCAGCAACCGGTGGAGACACTACGACTAAGTAGAAGGGGGTTATGATCGAAAACTGTATGAGCAGGCAACTGTTTTCTACTTCTCAAATTTTCCAGAGGATTGGGGATATGAGCAGCTTTGGAAAACTTTCATGAAGTATGGGAGGGTTTATGCCATTTACAGCCCTATAAGAAGAAATAAGGAGGGGAACAGATTTGGGTTTGTCCGTTTTTTGGATGTTAAAAATGAAAAAAAATTAGAGAGGCAACTAGATCAAATATGGGTGGAAAATCGCAAACTGAGGGTCAAGTCTCCCCGCTTTAAGAAAAACTCCAAGGAGTTAGCTTTGATGAAGAGGACAAAAAGTGCTATTGCAAGAAGGACATGCAGCAACGCTGATGTTGTAGCTGGGCGTAATAGCGGGTTACAGCAGAACACAATAAGCAAAGTAGGAACTGATACTCGAAGAGAAAGACAGTTTGCTAGTTCTGTAAGCTGCTATAGGGAAGTGGGTATGGAGAAAAAAAAGAAAAAGTTGAAACATGGGTTGGACTGGATTTCAACCCACGAGGATTGGATTTGGCTTGAAGGGTGCTACGTTGGCATAGCAAGAGCAGTGGAATTGGTGTTAATTCTACAAGAGCGATTCTACATGGAAGGCTTGTTCTCCGTAAGATTGAGAGCAATGGGAGGCAAAATGGTTCTTATTGACTGTGATGACAAAGAAGAACTCAAAGACCTTATAGAATTGGCAAGTGATTGGCTCAGCCAATGGTTCGACGAGATCCGGCCATGGACTCCAACTCTAGTAGCAACTGAGAGATTTGTTTGGGTGAAATGTTTTGGAGTCTCTCTGCATGCTTGGGGACCTGATTTGTTCAACACCATTGCCACGTTGTGGGGGAAGTTCATCTCTCTAGATGAAAGTGAAGAAAACTTATGAAAAGAGAGAACTTTGAGTATACTGAATTGTATTCAATCTGATGAATGACTACATACATATGTTAGTATATATATATACAAGATATTCTAAGTATATGCCTAAAATTTTGGTCTTGACCGTTGCTTGATTTCTCCTTAAATTATGCACTATGAGTAATAGCTAGAGTTGCTTTTTCCCTTCTGATATCTTTTGTATCCTTAGCTGATCCTTTTTCCCTTCTAATATCTTCTGTTTCCTTTCTTAGCTTATATGCTGTTGTTGGATTTGATTCTTGTGATCTTGCTTGTTTTGATTTAGTCTTCATACTCCCCCTCAAACTGGCGTGAGGTGACTCAACCAAACCCAGTTTGAACTTTAACAACTGAAATTGAGAGCGCGAAAGTGGTTTTGTAAGCATGTCTGCAATTTGATCATTGCTGGGAATATATCTGGTTACTAGTGTACTAAGTGCTACTTTTTCTCTAACAAAGTGATAATCTAATTCAATGTGTTTGGTATGAGCATGAAACACAGGATTGATAGACATATGTAAAGCACTAAGATTATCTGAAAAATTTGAGGAGGAGAAGGAAGTGAAACCCTAATATCACGTAGAAGATAGGTAACCCAAAGAATTTCAGCTGTAGTAGTAGCCAAGGCTCAATATTTTGCTTCAGCAATAGAACGAGCAATGGTAGGTTGCTTCTTAGAAGACCATGAGATGCAATTTGCTCCAAGGAAAACACAGTAACCAGTGGTGCTTCGTCTTGTAATTGGGCAATCGGCCCAATCGGCATCACAAAACCCTGTGAGTGAGAGAGTGCTGTGAGAGGAGAAGCGTAGTCCATGGTGTATGGTTCCTTTTATGTATCTCAAAATATGTTTAACTTGTCGCATATGAGCAAATGTAGGTTGTTGCATGAACTGACAAACTCTATTCATAGCATGACAAATATCAGTTCTGATAATTGTCAAATATTGTAATGCACCAACAAGCTTTCTGTACTCATTTGCATCAACCAGGTCGTCATCCTTTAAAGTAGAAGTGTCCTTTGTTGCCAATGGGGTGGCGATGGATGCTGCTGCAAACATGTGGGCTCGAGTCAGAATATCTTTGGCATATTTAGCTTGTGATAAAAATATGCCCCCTGAAAATTCAGTGACCTCAATCCCCAAAAAGTAGTTAACTGGGCTAAGATCCTTTAAATCAAATTGATTGCCAAGATGATCAATTATCTGTTGCAGCAAAAACTGTGAGCTTGCACTAAGGACTATGTCATCAACATATAATAAGAGCAAAGCAACATCTTGACCATGATGAATAACAAACAAAGAAGAGTCTGCTTGGCTACAATGGAACCCCAATTTCAATAGTTGTAGTGTGAATGTGTCAAACCATGCCCTTGGAGCTTGCTTTAGACCATAGATTTATTGAGCTTGCAAACATATTCAGGGTGTGAAGGGTCTTCAAAACCTGGTGGTTGGGTCATGTAGACTTCCTCTTTGAGCTTCCCATGTAAAAATGCATTTTTCACATCTAATTGTCGTAACAGCCATGACATTGTTGTGGCAAGAGCAACAACCAAACGAAGGGTGGTGGGCTTGAGAACAGGGCTAAAAGTCTCTTCAAAATCCACTCCTGGGATTTGAGAGTATCCCTGTGCTACTAGTCTTGCTTTAAGCCTGTCTACTGTTCCATTGGGGAGAAGCTTTGTTTTGAAGACCCATTTGGAGCCTACAATATTTGTCTGTGATGAGGGCCTAGGCACTAATGTCCATGTGTTATTCTTGTGAAGTGCATCTAGCTCTTCTTTCATAGCATTAGTCCAGTGAGGAAGTTGTAGTGCCTTTTTAACTGATTTGGGTTCTTAAATGTCCAATTCTGCACCATGTAATGAATAATTATTAGTAGTCATAGAATGAGCAAACTTAGGAAAAGTAGTTTGGACATGTCCAATATGCTTCCCTGATTTTGCTCTAGTAGTCATAGGGTGAATGGAAGTGGAGGTGGCATTGTGAGCTGGTGGTGGTACCCTTTCACAATGAGAACAAGAACTACCTGGTCCTTGTATAGGTTGAGAAGGATAAGATTCAAGCTGTATTGGTGAATTACACACCTCATTTTCATGGATGTTATTTCCAAGATGAGTTGATCCAAGTCCTTCTAGATTACTTGCTTCCTCTAGTATGTTTTGAGGGGAATTACCATCTGTACTCTTGTATCCTTGAGGTGAGGTTGATTCAGGTACCTCTACAGTAGTGGAAATTGTATCATATCCTTCTTCTGTACAAGTATTTCTGATCGAAGTGCATTGACTAGTCACAGAAGCTTGTTGCTCTTCATCTATCCTTGTAGCGGCTTGCAAGTGGGATGAGCATTGCACCTGTTCATCAAAGTCAGGATATTGACAAAGTTCACCATCTGCACTAGGAGCACTTGTAATTGATGAGTTTAATTTTTATATGGATTTATCTACCCTTTTTGAGCCTAGAATTAAATTTAGGGGTCTTTTGGAACTTAGTTTCACCTTTTGTTTATATTAAATTCATTATTTGTGGGTGAAAATTAAGATAGG